GTTGTTTAACATACCCAATATATAAAATATGTATTTGAAATGCAGTCCCTCACCCTCTTGGCTGTTACCACCATCATCACCGCCATGATTCAAATTCCAAATCTCTACTAAATAGCCTATTTAACCACTGGACTGAATTAATGATACATAACTGTATTATCAAAAAATCATAGAAGACTGGGTGAAAATTATTCATTTTTGGCATTGAAGTTTTTTGCTCAGAATCACAAAGGCGATATGACTCTATTTTCAAGGACAAAGGCTGTTTGGATCGAATGGTTTCATTTGCTTAGAGTTTGCTATGTGTCTAGAAACATAACAACATTGTTTTTTGGAGAATCAATAACATGTTATGAAAAGATTTTGATTGAAGAAATATTCACATTACTGTACGCACACTCAAAATTTCAAAAAAATGATCAACAAATATTTTTTTGGATTTTTGAAAAATCCACCTACATGTACGTGACTTTAAACGCCGGCAGTTGGACCACCCAAATTGAAAGAAACTAACGCAGAAGCTAATCTAAAATTTGATACATTTTTTTCTTGCTGGATTAAAAAGTAGACTGCCTAAAATTTAATTTTATTAGTAATGAAAGTATATTCTAAAAGAAGTTTCAAATAAAAATGAACACAACTCCATTGCTTAGTAGCAAATGATTGCGGTAGCGCAATCCGGTCATGCTGCATTTCACAATTGTTGATTATTACCTACGGTAGTAATGATTATATTAACGTGCAAAAAATAAATTCGTTGAATTGTTATGAAATGCAAATAAATTTCAACTTATTTCGTCGTAAGCGAATGATTCCGGTCACACTTTAAACGCTCGATGCTGTAGAAATGAATGTCCGCCATGTGTGACCTGGTACAGTGTTCTTTGACCTGACAGGTCAAATCGCTAATTAACCAATGAAAACGATGAATAATGCCAAAGTTCAAATTACCATAGCTCATTTAAATATGTTAATGTTATTGAACGCAGCACGGAAGAGATTTGCCGATGTTGTTTACGATCTTTTGGCTTGAATTTTGATGGGAAAAGTGGCATGATATATTTTTAAATAAAAAAATAAGTTGTTTTCAAAAGATAAACTGAGCATTTGATAAATAATTTAACATTGTTTACAGTGATAACAGAATTCGGTAGTTAGTGTTCATTTTAAGATGTAATGTGTCAACATTTGTGGTTCTCAGTTTCTGCATGTGAAATCACATCAATGCTTCCAACAGCGATGACCGACAGATTTCTGTCAGATTTCTGTGGCTCTCTTGACACTTGCAACTGTCTTTTAGCTTTCTATTTTTACTTATCTGAAGTGTTTTTTTGGTTGCATTTTTGTATATGATAAGATATTGACAAGTAAGTAAACCTTAGAAATTTCTATTTTTTATGGTTGCCAACACCATAGCCTATAAATAACCATGGCTTGCAGTGTGTTGAAGGGTGGTTGCACTGGGTGTACATTACATTGTTTTCTTGTTCACACAAAACTCAAACACCTACTGCGAGATAACCATATCGTTATTTTTAATTGAAAGGTGTTCCTTATTTTATCGTCATTAGAAAATGACTTAATAATGTAATAAAAATAAGAATACAATGAATGCCAAATTCATTCAGTTTCAAATAATTGATTATTGTTATCCTAATCATATTAAAATTTCCTTTTAGCCTCACTTCAATAAAACAGTCAACATTCATGAAACATGCATGCCTACAAAATGTATTATTGGATCCATGAATGTTTATAAAAAGCTATAAAAACTACTGCTCTCTATTTCATTAACTTTTTCATTAACGGATCTAAAAATTGAGCCAAAATGTGAGAAAAATGCATGTTTTTGGTGAGAAAACTTTCCACATTGAGATGATAAGAAAAGTTTACTACCACACACATATAAATGCACTCAAGTCTACTTGTGTTATGTAATCAGAAACTAGCTGCCATTATTCATTATTCACAATTTACTTTCACCATGGTGATATTTTTTAAATAAATTAATAAAGTCGTGAAACAGCTGGAAAAGCTTGTACGTTTCATGCGTCTTCTTTGTGCATTAATTTAGTGTAATTGCTGATATTGGTTTTTACCGTACACATTGATTTAATTATACAAGTCAGTATACATTGCTGTAGAGTTTATTCTACTTTGATTTTTTAATAAAAATGTTGATATGCCAATGTTTCCTGAATGAGAAAATGATTGACCCTGGGCAGGCGGGTGTTCCTTTGATTGTATTGATCTAATAAGC